TATATATATATATATATATATATATATAAACCATTGTGCGCGCTTGCTACTTATGTTTTTAATGATCAAAAAATTGACCATCAGACTTTAAGAAAAATATATTGTAATATTTATATTTAAAAAATTCTAAATGTATTATTTTCATAATTATCTCAAAATAGTTGTTGTTATTCTTGAAAACTTAATTAAAATTTTTTGGATCTTTACATCCATGGAATGTTATAGTTTAATTGGAAACTGTACCTTGCCAAAAATCTTAAAAAATATTCAAAAGTATACTTAAATTTTTTATATGAATTTATATTGACATTATTACTATTATTGAATCTATATCATTTTTTATCTTCTTATTTTCTTAAAAACTTTTTCAAATAAACAGCTAACATATATGAATTAAATTGGAATTATAAATATTTCAAATGCATATAACAATCAACAATAATTAATTAAATGGAAACAATTTTTTTAATTAGTTAAAAATAGTATTTATAAAAAAACAATGAAAAAATAATCATACAATTTGTGCACACAAACGCATTTCTTTACTATAATATTCTTTAGTAAACGTATCTCATAGTTACATTTACTAAATTTGTACAACACAAAGAATACGTATTCAACAAACAGAAGAATATTAATGTATTGCTACTGTTTGTTAATAATGTGAAAATAATTGATATTTTAAATTTAATTTTGGTTTGGATCTTGATATTATATCTTGAATTTATAGCACCGTATAAATGACTTATATGTAAAAATTTAATCCAATTCAATATTTGTTTTAAATTATCATCATTTATCTACATTTCTATCGTGCTACAGTAATATCCTGTTAATATCAATTTTATCATAATGTCTTCTAATTGTTCCTAGAAATCCAAGAAAATTTTATAAATACATATTTAAGAAAAACAAAGATATCGCTACTTAAAACAAACAGGCGATAAATCATTTCAGTAAAAAATCAATAATTTTTTTTTTTCAATATTGACAGGATATTATTGTATATCTATTATTATAAATTTGGCTCAATACGACTCTTTCATTTTTAGTAATTTATAATAATTTATCACATGAAATTTCAATTTTTGAATATTTTAAATAATTTTTTAAATATTGTGATATATGAACATTTTTTCGAACGTTCAAGTCACATTATGTTTTAACTTTAGTGTATAAAGTTATAAATATTGAATTAAAATAAACAAAAAATGTTTCTTTCTGAAAGAGTTTTACGAATATTGCGTATATTAACGCGAAAATGCAGTAAAATTTATTTCTTACAAAAAAAAAAAATAAATAAATAAACAAAACTGCTTTTCCTTTTAAAATAAAAAACACTGAGTAGAAACATAATTTAGAGTTCTAGTTCTTCGGCAGTGCGAGAAAGTCTATGATTATCAATACGTCTGCGTTGACTGCGTCTAACTGCATCTGCTCGTCGGTATGGTTCCGATCTAAGCCCAAGAAGAATATCTTCTAGAGCACCATTATAAACTTCATCCTGCTGCAGCAATTTCTTCTCTTGAACCAGTCTTGTTTTATTTTTCAATTCATTTATCACAGCGTCCTATTGTCAAATTAGCAATTATTCATTAGATTTGTTGATCAATAATATATTTCACTAAAAGATAAAGATGAATTATCTTATGTTTAAAACATTTATATATTAAATCTCCTTTTTCTGTTATTATCCAATATTTTTATTATGTCTTAAATAATTTTATACCTGAAAATCTTTGTTCAATAATATTATAATTCAAAAAACATATTATATATATTTAATTTAAAATTTATTCTTATGTTATTTATATATTTTATGTTGTATGATTTTTTCACTAATATAATTTTATATATTCAAATATTATAAATTATTATTCATATTATTCCTTTAAAATGTATTTTAATAATACAAAGATATACATACAATTTCCATTAAAATATTTAAAAAGATATTTGTTATATGTATAATTTTTTATGTAAAAAATTGTATAATTAAATATTTAAATTTTAAATCTGTAATTGAGTATAAAATAGATTAGAATAATTAGAAAAAAATTATAGTTCTTAATTCTCTCTTTAAAAATTTTAAATTGCTGAAATGAAAAATTTTTTAAATTAATAAACATTTCACAATTATGATTGATATTTAAATTTTTTCTACAAATATTAAAATTTAATGTTTTGTTACATCATTAATTTGTATATTTAATCCGAAACTCTCTTAGCAGTAGCATAGGAAAGTGATAACAGAGGATTTCTCTCTCAAGCAACATCAATGCAAGCTAGAATACATGCCAATGCATTTTTTAATTTTTTGTTAATGATATGAATCGAGTAAACGTACCACGAGATTTGAAAGACAGTTCTTTAACAATATAATGATATAAAAAAATAAGAGTTAATTATAATTTTATATTGTTCATTTAATTATAATTTTAATTGTTTTATATAAAATTTGTATTTAATAATATTAATGAAAATAATATTAGTAATTTAAATAAAATAATGATAAAAAAATAGAAATTAAATTAAATATAACTTTTAATAGATAAAAATAAAAAGGAAAATTAAAATAAAGCGGATAAGAAGATTTTTAATTATTTAATTAAAAAACATAAAAAACTGTTCTCAAATTGTGGTTTTATGATGTTTCAATATGTGTATTTCGAATGAAAAGCTAAACTTACATGTGTGTTGTTTAACAATAAGCAATTGGTGTTTGTGCAAATGCGATAGATTAAAGTATGTCATTAGAAGGAAGTGAGTAAGGAGAGACTTACATGTTGTGAATTGTTTCTATATTGTTACGTTCTGAGCTCCAGTTCATTAAGATGCCGATGTAACAGACTCTTGTTTGTGTTACAGCAAAATTTCGGTGACTTTAAATCCAAATAAATATGTAACAAATAAGAAAAATAGACTTTCGTGAGATACCTTAATAGATATCATGTCTGTTCTTAAAACGGAAAAATATGCTAAAAGAGCACTCTCGAAATAATTAAAATTATTATGCTCATCTGATAATCCCTGAAAAATATCATGCTATTTCACAACATGCAGCAAAAAGAAATGGCTTGTAAATTCATTTTCGCTCGAGCATTATAATTTACAAAAATTTTCAAAAAATAATCTTTTTTCTTAATTGATACATAATAAAATTGAATAGTATCTCCATACAAAATTTATTTTGGAATTTGTTGTTTGTTTAACTTAGAATATTACTTTGAAAGATCTAACAATAAGACAAATGAATATTGAAAAGTATTGTATTGTGATAGTGGGTGATTTTAGATTAAATTGTATTGGATTGAATGAAAAAAATGAAATTTTAAATACGTATAAAGTGTCATAAGTAAGTTTCTTTTAGAATATGAATAATCATGCCTACTTATTAAAAATATTAATATGAAGAATAAAGAAGCAATTAGAAAGCAAAAGCATTAAAAATCTTATGAAATTAATTATGAAACATTGCACACATATTCCGTTTGAATAAGAAGCTTTTAACAAAAAAACAAATATAAAAAAAGACTTTCAATAACATCGTAAATTTTACGATTTTAACATTATATTAGAATTTGAAAAGAAAATATTTATTTGTAAATAAGTAATTTGTAAGTAAAAATTTATTTAATACTTTCTCTTTCTCTATCTTTCATATATAAAATATTTTTCAATTAATAAAACAATATTATTTTTTTTTAAATAAAATATATTAATATTAGTATGTATATACACATGCGTGTTTAATATTCATTTATAAAAAATATTAATAATTAAAGATGAAAATAATTAAATCTTGCAATATTGATGTTGAGAGAGAGAGAGAGAGAGAGAGAGAGAGAGAGAGAG